CAAGAGTTTTGCATCATAGACTTGGCCTGTTGAGGTCACATCAGTGATAAGGAACGTACAAGGAGCACATTATATTTTTCCGTTTTAGTAATTGCTGAAATTGTCCAGTAATTGATGTTTCTGTGGCACGTGTATACAAAGAGCGGAGTGGGGATTTCAACCTGTGCAGTTTTGTTTTTTTTGTTGGGATAAGTAGATGCACTAATTGTGTAAGGGATGCTTCCTGTGTTGTGCTCAGGTTGTGCGGGGACACTACAAAGGACAGCAGATTGGCAAGGTGGTCCAGGTGTACAGGAAGAAATACGTCATCTACATTGAACGTGTTCAGCGGGAGAAGGCGAACGGCACAACTGTCCACGTGGGGATCCATCCCAGCAAGGTACAGTGCATGACATGGGGTATGAAATGCATGAGGAGACCTTGCTGGCAAAGGAAGATGCTGTTGCTGGCAGGAGTCGAACCTTGTCATGGCATGTGAAGTAACAGATGGAGATACTCCAGCACTGGGGGATAATAAACAAGGAAAATGGTGTCATGATAGTAGAGAAGTGAATTGAAATCAAGAACTCCTTGATGTTTCTGGGTCTCATTTGGTGGAGATGACGCTACAGACTTCAGAGTCTTGCTAAGTACTTTGAAGAGCTTGGTATTTTTAAAGCACAAAATGGATCGTTTAGAACAATCCTTCATCTTTACTACATGGCATTTGCACTGATTAATGAGGTGTTAGAAATGTTTGGGTAGATGCTCAGGATAGTGATATGTTCATGTGTGCTATTTTGAACAAAGTTCTGAATCTGGTTTTAGCCTGAACCCATTTAACATGTTTAGAGTCCATGAAAACCAGGCAAAGCCTGTTTGGATCATAATAGCTCCCTATTATTTGTTTCAGATTAAACAGAAAAACTAACCAAAAGCTGGTTTGAAGCAGATGAAATTAGTCTGCTTCAGCGTTGCCTTGTGGGGACATGTACTGAAGTGTTGGTGGAAGAAATCCAGTTGTAACAGGTTTTCTGATCTAAATGGTTGGTATGTTCAGCAGAGGGAGAGCAGGATCATTCCGAAACAACATAATGGCTTGTGTGCAGTAATAACATTTGATGGACAAAGTGACATTGCAGTGGAGCCAGTATGCATATTGCTTGTGTGATAAATAGCAATGAAGGACTTCTGTGCTGGTACTTTATTCTGTGAAGTTGTCTCTAATTGTGAATCAGACCTTAAAGATTCTGGTTATTAATGCAAAAGGAACAGAAGAATGCAGTGGGGTGGATGAACAGTTTTTACCTCTCTTAGGTAAAGAGGTAGGAATTCATACTAATTATGGGATACCTACATGCACAGTGGAATTGAGGAGGAATGTGCAGGCCTGCTGCAGTCTATGGTTTCTCTGGGATTTGGTTGTCAGTTGGAATTTAAGGTACTCCTTTCAGTAATATCAGCACATGTGTATCTTCGGCAATTTGAGGGGGCACAGGAGACACTGAAGACCAAAAATTAAGCTTTTTTAGAGAACCACTGAGGCTGTGGTAACTAGTGGTCTGTGCAGTTTATCTTTGATGTGCCCTTGTTAGTAGTACTTGATAGTTGCCTGGCCACCTCCTGTCTGTGTCTTTATGTGAGTCACTGTGGTGCATGGGCTTCTGCTTTGGCCTGTAGTGCAGGCAGATGCATTGGCTGTTCAGCCAGTACAGCAGTGAGATGCTAACAGCCAGCAAACAGCAGCATGGCTTTCCAGTGTTCCAAAAATTTACGTAATACTGTTTAAAACATGGAATAATTAAAATAGTGGTTCATTACTTGCTTTTTTGGTGGTGGGATCCACTGTACTGCATTTCAGGTGGATGCTTGAGCAGCATAATGGAAATGAGATTTACTTCGAAGTAATTATTTTATTATGTAGTTAATGGAAATCTGGGTGCTCTTCAGTGTGTGCATTTGGCTGTGCATCAAAAGCAGCTGTCCACAGACCCTGATCCCTGAGTGTACCTGGGACAGTTGTGACGTACACGCTTGTGAGGTGGGCAGGTGCCAGCTTTATGAGGTTTAACCATGCCAAGTGCAAGGTCTTACACCTGGATCAGAGCAATCCCAGGCACAGCTACAGGTTGGGCAGAGAAGAGATTCAAAGCAGCCCTCTGGAGAAGGACTTGAGGGTGTTGGTCGATGAGAAACTTAACGTGAGCTGGCAGTGTGCGCTCACAGCCCAGAAAGCCAACCGTATCCTGGGCTGCATCAAAAGGAGCGTGACCAGCAGGTTGAAGGAGGTGATGCTGTCCCTCTACTCTGCTCTTGTGAGACCTCACCCGGAGTATTGTGTGCAGTTCTGGTGTCCTGAACATAAAAAGGACATGGAACTGTTGGAACAAATCCAGAGGAGGGCCACGAGGATGATCAGGGGACTGGAGCACCTCCCCTTTGAAGACAGGCGGAGAAAATTGGGGCTGTTCAGCCTGGAGAAGAGAAGGCTGCGTGGAGACCTCATAGCAGCCTTCCAGTATATGAAGGGGGCCTGTAAGGATGCTGGAGAGGGATTCTTCATTAGGGACTGTAGTAATAGGACAAGGGGTAATGGGTTAAAACTTAAAAAGGGGAAGTTTAGATTGGATATAAGGATGAAGTTATTTCCTGTTAGGGTGGTGAGGCACTGGAATGGGTTGCCCAGGGAAGTTGTGAAAGCTCCATCCCTGGTGGTGTTCTGGGCCAGGTTGGACAAAGCCATGAGTGATATGATTTAGCGTAAGATGTCCCTGCCCGTGGCAGGGGGGTTGGAACTGGATGATCTTAGGGTCCTTTCCAACCCTGACTCCTCTATGATTCTATGACATACGGAGGCAATTCAGTACCTCAGTCCTACCTGGATCAAATGAGATGATCTGTGGAAATAGAACTTGTGTGCCAGGGCTGACCTTCTGGGACCATGCTGTGTTACCACAGCTCTGTCAGGTTGCTGTGCTTCAACACTGAAGTGACACTAAATTCTCTGTCCTTTCTCTAGGTGGTGATCACCAGGCTAAAACTGGACAAAGATCGCAAAAAGATCTTGGAGCGTAAAGCAAAATCCCGCCAGGTTGGCAAGGAGAAGGGCAAATACAAGGAAGAAACGATCGAAAAGATGCAAGAATAGATTATTTCCTATTGAAACCATTAAAGAACTGCTAAAATTTAAACCTGTTATTGTGTCTTCTTTAGAAAGTCTTTATATAGTATCTGGTTTGTGTTTTAATGTTCATTCTCATGTTTTGATGTTGGCTGCGTAAAAAAATGCTTCCACTAAATCAAGAACCTTTTAAGAAAATAAAAACTCTTTCTCCATAAGGAATGTTTCAACCAATGTTACAGTGCAGTCCTGAAACCTGCATCTAATGACCATTGTGCTTCTGTCTCTTCCACTCATCTTTGACACTTACGTAGATGGGTTCATGGTTTTAAATGAATGTGTTCGTTCTGTGCACCATATATATTGGATATTTTACCAGGCATTTAAAGTAAACTATTTCTTTCCATGAATCTCCTGTAATCCTCTTATATTATGTGGGTTTTTTCAACTGTCTTATGAATTTGATATTAGAGATGACATTTTTGAGGTTCACCAGGCACACTGTGGCCACACATAGCACTGAATTTGCTGTATGATGTCTTGGGCTCTTGGATTAATGATGGAGCTTAAGGACAGGGCTTTACCTCACCAGTGCTGTGCAGCAGAGCTGCCTGGTTTGACAAAGGTAAGAGTGAAGGCAAGCTCAGTGCTACTGATAACACTGTTTTGGATGCACTTTTCCGTAAGAGGAAGTTAGGTTTTTAGTACTTTATACACATAATTGAGAGCTGCCACAGCGTGGTGAAAACCGCCCTGCAATTAAGTGAATTTACTGGCTTAGTGAATAGCCCTCTTAATTGCTGGTACAGAGGGAAAGCAAGCCAGCTCCTGCTGAATCACACTACTTTGAAAACAGGGATGCTGAGGATTGAGGAAAATCAGAATTCCAGGTTGGAAGAGACCTTAAGGATCATGTGGTTCCTACACAAAGCCTAGACTAGGTGTCCCAGCACCCTGTCCAGCTGAATCGAAGTGTCCAGTGCTGAGGAATCCACCACTTACCTGGGGAGATTATTTCAATGGCTGATTGTGCTCATTGTGAAAAAGTTTCCTCTTCTATTCAGCCGGAATCTCCCCAGGAATAACTTGTGGCATTAGCCCTCATCTTTTCCGTGTGATGGTGTAAAAATGGAGTCTCAGTCTTCTTTGTAGCCACCTTTTAAATACTGGAAGATGGTGATGAGGTCTCCCCTGAGCTGCCTTTTCTCAAGGTTGAACTAGCCCAGCTTTCAGGCGTCCCTCACACATCCCAGTCCTTGGATCATCTTTAAGGCCCTTCTCTGGGTCCCTTCCAGCCTGCCCACTTCTTGTAAAATGGGGACCAAACCTGAGCACAGTATTCCAGGTGTGGCCTGACCAGCACTGAGTGGGACAATGACATCTTTATCTCTTCTGGTGAGACTCCTGACGTTGGCTTACTCTGCCGCAGCAGCCCTGTTCACTCGCACTGAGTTTGCTGTGCCCCAGGACCACACGTGCCCTTCTGAAGCCATTTATAGGCAGTAACTCGAAGGCTGCTTGAGCCGTTCAGCGTCACTTCTTTTATGCCTGTTCAGAGCTTTTGTGTACCCCCGCAGCCCATGCGAGCGCACACGCTGCTGAACGATGTTTCTCTTCACCCGTGCCAGTGAACTGAGCGCGTCCTTCGGCTCCGCTGCTCCTCCCTGGCCCTGCTCCGACCGGAGGCTTCTCCCTGTTCCCAGTCACCGATGAGCTCGAAGCCAGCGCTTGCCCCCGGAGGAGCTCCGCCCTTGCCCGCACAACTCCTTCCCGCTCCGCTCCCCGGGCCCGGGTTGTTCCGCCCGCCGAGGCCCGCTCCCACAGCGCCGTCGCGCCGCCAGGTGCGGCCCCGCCCGCCGGGCTCCGGTGACGTTATGGGCGCTGATTGGCGCAGGCGGCGGGGCGGGGCGCTGCGGCGGCCGTGAGGAAGGGCTGGGGAGGTTCCCCGCCGGGTCGCACCGAGCCGCTTCCCTCCGCCGCCGGCCCGGCCATGGCGTACGGTGGCCTCACGGTGCCCATCATCGTCATGAGCGTTTTCTGGGGGGTGGTCGGAGGTGTCCTGCCGTGGCTCATACCCAAGGGGCCTAACCGAGGGTGAGTGACCGGGGGGAGGCCGGGGTCGCGCTGAGGGGCTCAGCGATCCCCTGCCCGCCTCTTCCCCTCGGGTCTGGGGAGCGGGCAGTGTGTGTGAGGAGGCCCCCGGACGGAGGCGAGCCCGCGCCCCGAGGCGGAGGCCTGGCGGAGGCGCGCCGTGCCCTTGCGGGCCTGCCGGGCAGCAGCGGCCTTGCGGCTTCGGCTCGCCTGAGTTCCCCTTTCCCTCGCCGCCGAGGCCTGCCGGCCGTCGCGGAGCCCCGCAGCGCCGTGCCTGCCGGGCGCGGAGCCGCCGCCTCCTGCCGCAGTGTTCCTGCGGGCTCCCCGTCGCTGGCGCAGCGCGGAGGGCGGGCGGGCCCAGGCGCCTGTGCCAGCCGGGCTCCAGCCCGCGGGGAAGGCCGGAGCCAGGAGCGGTGTCTCCGTGCGTTAGTAATCCGTTACGGTGTTGAGTTTTCCCCTCAAGCCCTGTAAACATCCGCATACACGGCGTCCTGTGGTGAGGCCGTCTCATGTTAAGTTGGTGTTTGAGCAATGGCTTCCTTTTAGTTTCCTTACTTGACCTTTTCTAACTTACTTCGCCATCTAGTTTGGCACTGGATAAGGGTGGAAAAAAAATTGCTGTAGTAGATCTCCGTTGTGTGTTTTAATGTATGTTGGTGGTCTGAGGACAAAAGCGAGGGCATCTAAACAGACTTTTTCCTGCAGTGGTCGTAACTGCTCAGATTAAAAGTAGACAAGTTTTTGTCTTTCTCTTTTCCCTAGGAGATAATGACTTCTTAACCTCTCTTCCTCTCTCTGACATCCCCTCTACTCCACAGGTACCGACTGTCTTTTCTCTTAGTTGTTTGTCTAAAGTCGGAGGAATTTTCCTCAAGTTCTATTTAGCTCTGGTTATTTGCTGTCAAACCTGGAGGGTGTTTGGGTGTTTTGTGCCTGAAAACTTTCCTGTCCTCAGAAATACCTTGGAAATACGTCTTCCAGGCATGTCCTTAAAGTATGTGGGTCACCAACAGATGTTCTGTAGTTATGCCAAAATGTGATTGTTTAACAAATGTGATAACGGAGCATTGCTACGTTCTATAGCATGTACCAAAACAACAGCAAAGAAAACCCCAAAACGCTTTACCCAAAGCCTATTTCTGAATACAGTTGTTCTTTTTCTAACAAAATAAGTTAATGCAGACTTTAGCTACGTAAGAGTTCACATTGCACAGGTTAAGGCTCCCAAACAGTGACTCTGGGACTCCCTGAAAAGGATGGGTTTCTGGAGCTTAATCCAAGGCTATGTTAGCTTTGTAATGTTCATTTTAAAGTGGATAAGGTGGGTGTATATTCATAGATGAAAAATATTAAATGTTACCTGTGTCACAAAAGAGTTAGAAGGAACTAACCTGGCATGAGGTTTTGTTCCTTGGTTTGGGGGAGGAAATACATAGAGTGAAACCCCTTTTTATAATTAGAAAAAGCCCAAATAAACAAAACTCCTCTACTTTGTTACTAAGTTCCATTAGTTGCATAGATCAGTTGCTGCTAGGAAATGTCATTTCCTTTCCTCACATTTCAGAGTCGTGTGTGTACAATGTCATTCTACCATGTTCAGTTTCAAGAGCTGCTTGGTTCTTGCTGCTTTGCAGCTTAATAATGGTTTCTGATACAGTTTCCTTTCAGCAAGAAAGGAAAATCTTGTCGTTCAGATTTTTTGTGTTCTGTTTGCAAACCCCTTGCTCATGATGTAAAATTAAAATATTTTTATACTGAAAATTTCTGTAAGGAGAATTTTGCATTTTTTTAAGGAGAACATGTTTATTGCTTACTGTTAGCATTATAACATCCAGCTTCAGTAGTTTATTAACTTGCTGGTGGAATTGACTATGAAATTGAGTGAGGACACTGTGTGTATAAGATTTTGCTCCTCTTTGGGGTGATTTTTGTTAAATATAGCTGTATACTTCTGTTTGTCAGAGCTGTGTCAGCTCTTCTGCTGAGCCTTAGCTGCGCTTCTGCAAATTATTCAGCTAGAAGAAGTTGGAACACTTGTGTTGAGTCACCTTCCACATGATCGAAGTTGGAGTTGTTCTTGTGTGCTGGGTTTTTTTTTTCCAGTGTGTCTTGTGGTCAGTCATAACATGGCACCTAATCAGATGTTTCTCTCCTTCCTTTTTGCAGTGTTATCAACACAATGCTGGTGACATGTGCTGTTTGCTGCTACCTGTTGTAAGTATAAATAATGTCTTGCCTCTTAACCAAGGCACAGTTCTGATGTAATCAAAAGTTCCTTTTTTATATCCTCAAAAGATTTAGGAAGCAGCTTTTTGAATGTGTCACAGATGCAGACACAATGGTATTCTTTGACAGGTCTTGGAATTCTTAGTTCTAAAAACCTTCAGCATGCTGAATAAAGCATTTTCCTGAAGGGAGATACTGAATGAAAACAAACCCGAATTCCTTTTGTTGTCCTCTGACATGTAACTGTTGAACTGTGTTCTGTGTTGACTTGATGTCACTGGCTTGTTCACTCACAGGTGTAATGGCAGTTTGTCAGGTCCACAAGTTTTCTGATTTGCAGTAGTGATGACTTTATGCCTTTTTTATTTTGTATAAGTTACACTTATATGAGGTGATATTATACTTTATGAGGTGATATTAATTTAAACCTACTGATGAGTTTTGCTTTACTTAGTTTGGTTGAATATATTCTCAAAATCTGGTAGGGCAGTGGGTGGAAAAACTTATATGTGTGTTTTTTGTATGTGACAGTTTTTGTGACAGACTTGTGTGCTTTGCTGTGTTAAGATGATTTTTGTTTAAATGCGTGTTATATTTTCAGGCTGCCTCTTTTCTGTAAGAGAATTAGTAAAAATAACAAAAACTCTGGTTAGATCTTTAAGGCTAACTTGTAATAAAATCATTATTCAGAGTTCCTTTTAAACCTGAGTGGTATTTGTACTTTCCTGAAGTATTTAGGTGTTATTTATGCTATTCTAATAGGCTTAACATGAATATTTAGAGAAATGCATCTCTAATCTCAAGAGTCATTCTTAGGAATTGGCAGTCAAAAGCCATATTATCAGTGTTGGTGTGTTCCAGGAGAGGCCTGTTTGGCTCCATGTTGGGTTAGCTTGTGCCACAGACTTATGCAGGGTTGATTTAGATTAATAATGTGATATTCAGACTTTATACAGTTTAGGCCTATTTTGTTTGAGTATTTGACACATGAGGTCTTAAATCATTGTATTGGATGATTTAGAAGTACAGCAATTTAGTTCTGTATTTTGTATCTATGCAGTTTTTTTAATTCAGAAAACTACTGTTGAAGATGTAGAAGCTTGAAGAGATTTGTTGTACCAACAGCTTGAATTTGGGATCGGAATTTGAGAATCTCAGGGCTATGAAGGCCTCCTTGACTGCATATAAAGTTCAGTGTTTGGGGGTGTGTTTTGGTTAAAGTTCTCACTTAAGTTCTCCCTACTTTGCATTTTAACAAAAATAATGCTCTACTCTTCTAAAATCCTCAAAGCTCAGGGTTTGTTTTCCTTATTGGTTGAAGAAGGATAGTTTCCTTGAAGTCAAGTCCACGTGGCATCTGCAGAGTCTGGATTATGATGTGAAATGTCTTTGTTGTAGAATTTCTTGACTGAATGCTGTGAACTCTTCAAATGTACAGTGGTATTTCACTTTTAAGTGTAATGATTTTTGTACTGAAACAAACCTATGATAAATCTAGTGTCATTGACATTAATTATAATCCATTCTTGCATGTCCAGTGAGAGGTTTCTTTTGTAATCTTGTGAGCTCTGTCTCGTTTTCTGTATTCCCTTTGGCTTTTGCCAGTTATACCTCGAAAAAGAGAAGCAACACAATGTTCTAAACCATCAGTAGTTACACCCAACCACATAAATTACGTGTATAGTATCTGTTTGCTAGAAAAAGCAGGTTTTTCTTCTCGTGTTCCAAGATAGAATTTGCCTCATCACAGAGTTTTTATTTCCTCCCCTGATTTCTGTATAAAATCACAGAACAGCCCTGGTTGGAAAGCACCTCAAAAGATCATCTGGTCTAACCTTTCTTTCCTCTGCTTTATTCAAGTGTTTGTCAGTTTGTTCTTCCCGTATTCTTTTCCTCTTTCAAGGGAAGCATTGAAAAATTTTCAGACCTTAATTCATGTGACTAAAGAGAGAACAATTTTTCATGCTAGTTTTGACGGAAGCCTGAAACAATGGTTTCTGAGGATTCTGTGTTAGATACGTTAGGGTTAAAATTACTTGTGTTGTCCCAGATATGGTCAGCTTTATTTGTGTGTCCTTAGTAGGTGGCTAGTGCTGTTATCTACCTCTTTTGTAGAGTTGTTCAGAACTCTGCTAGACCTGGTTTCATACTGAGTTACCTTTCTGGTTGAAAATAAGAAGAAAGCATTTCCTGTCTTCATTAAACACCACTTGTCTGACATTGATTTGCATCAAACTGAATTTGTGTTAACTGAATTTGAAATCAAGCACATTTCAATTTAAAGCTCTTTCTTCTGTGTTTAGATTTAGCAGTGATCATTCTGCATAACCATATTGATCACATGGTGTTAATTTGGTTGTCCTATGGAAAAATTTGCATGGGTAAGTGCACTGTTTGTGTACAGATATTGTACCCAGCAGCCTTTTGAAGGCGAATACTGAGCCTCAGGAACCTGATAAAATATAAGGCAAAGGATAAGGAAATACTGCTGTGGAAGTTACACCATGTTTTAAGACATTGTCAAAGTCTCAGTCTGTTTTGATGTTTCCAAAGCAGTTCCTGAAACAGAACCATGATGTCCTAACAGAGTACAGGGTGCTTGAAAAATGGTATTTACTGATGATTCTGAAAGGATTAAAGTACAGTCCCCAAAATGACATTTAAACAGCGATAGCAGGACCTTAATTTGTAATATGCAGCATAGACAGATGGCAGTTATGGCAGAAGGACCTTTTAAACAGTCTTCCTGGTAGAGCATAAGGGACTTTAATTTCCTTGTCTGAGCTGGGTAATTAACACTAAGTGTTGTAAGTGGTATCTGGTAGAATTTAAGGACCTGTGGGTGGCTTGAATGCTGTATTTGATTTTGGCAGCTCAAGAGCATTACACGTTCAGTGCAGAGGCTTGCTTTGTTTTGCTTTGAATGTTGTGTTTTGTTTTGCATTGTCATGATAGAACATTGTATAATGCAGCATCACTTAAGCAAAAGCTTTTTCATGACTTACCTTGAATACAAGGCAGTTGTAGAGTTCAGTGCATAACTACTGTTTTGAATTTTTAGGCCCTAGCAGAGCAGGAAGGAGGAATATACTGTTGACCTGGCATTTTACTGTGGCTCAGAGCTTGGATATCCATCATGGTCCCAAAAAATAGCTTTTGAAAACTGCACAGTGATTGCCTACAGCATGGTTATACGGCTGGGACACATCAATGTTTTCAATGTGCTTCCAGCTCATGTAGTTGACAGCCATGCCAGGGCTGAACTTAGGAAGCAGAGAGGTGAGATATTTGTACATAGAGTTCCTTCCTTCCATGCAGTGAGAGAATAACGTGCTTTAGCAGGCTTTTAGTGTTCCTACCCTCCTCCCACTTCTGTTAGTTCAGGATGCTAAAGGCAGATGGTACAGTGCTCTGGCACCCTTCTATCTGTCTTTTGTATCTGAAAATTAACCCCCTTGCGAAATAAATGCCATGATATTTTTAAGAGCTAGTTTGCTTTTCCCTCAAGTAAATGTAACATCATGTTTAAGGTGCTTTCAAAAGACATTGCTGTCATCGCTTTGGATAGCAAAGTAGGAATATGCCAATAACCTTTAGGTTGACTGCTCCTGGTGGTGTCTTGCTGATGATTTAATTGCTTTGTAGAGCCTGCTGTGTATTTCAAGGCTTGCAGGACTGATAAGAGGGCTGCAGGCGCAGCGTATCATTGTAGCAAGTCCTACTCCCTGCAAAACTGAAAGCAGCATTGGAAATAAATATTTGTAAATTGCAAGAGGATTGAGGTGGTTTCTTTAAGTCTTTTGCCCCTGGCTGCCCTGGGCATTTTACAGCCGACCTGCACTTCATCCGCTGGTCAAAGCATCAAGGTTTGTGTGGAATTTTCCATTACTGCCTAAGCACTCTGATACATTTGTGGCAGCTCTCGTTACAAAGCTGCTCTGCTTTTTCTCCTCCTTGCAAAGCATTCTAGAAATAGCAGACAGATGAGCCTGTGTGTTCACTAAATGTGTTTATATAGTTAGTATTTAGCATAGATTTAAATCCATGGAAGCATCCATTGCTTTTTCTGAATCCTGTAATATTTACAAAGCAAATATATATTTTAACAGTGGAATATTTATTTCTGTTTAGTTTTCCTGGATATTTTCCACAGACTACATTCCTCTTGTTCTCTGTTCTGGCTATTGCTTCTGCAGTATTAGTTTGCGAACTGCTCTGATGACAAGGCTGCTGTTGCTGATGATTTGGCAGTGTTGTCATATTGGTTTTCTTGTTGTGGATTTGTGTGTTCCTGTAGCATTGCACGCTTTTGCATCGGGTCCCTATTTCTTGACCTCTGTGCCAGGTTTAAATTCACATTTGTTCCATCTCTGATGAAAAATATACTATGTCTGCAAGGGTAGATTTTCATACACTGTGAATATAAGAGCAAATGAGAGAGAATGTTTATGAAATGTTTTTGTTTAAAGGGTGCCTCAAAGGCACTGAGAAAAGGGCTGTCTCTTATGTTTCTGTATTCTGAGCCCACAGATATCTGAGTTTTAGATGTCTCAAAACACTTGTCAAAAAAAAAAATGGATGAGAGAGATGCTGTCAGGTGGTTTTGTGTTGTTTTAAATTGAACAGGCCAGTTGCAAAATGATTTGGTGCCACCTCTTCATTGCTGGTACCTAGCCTTTATGTTTGAGCTTGAGTGAAATTTTGATTTGATACTAGACTTTCCTGAAAATAGTCTTTTTGTCTCTGATAGTACTTGTGCTTTGGACAAGCTTTTCCATTATTGTAAGCTTTGTGATTTGGCTGATGTTCTCTCTTTTGGGTTGGGGGGGTTGTCTTGCAGTTGGCTGATTGCGATTCTGGCTCAACTCAACCCTCTCTTTGGGCCGCAGTTAAGCAATGAAACAATCTGGTACCTTAAATACCACTGGCCTTAAGGATGTCTGTCCTATGCTGAAATCTGTTGACTAGGTGAGTATGATCAGATTTATTAATATTTTTGGTACATTAAAGCTTCAGGAGAAAGTAGGAGCAGTTGTTATAGGCAGTGTGTTCAGAATTGCTAGCTGTTTTGCAGGAGAAATCTACCTTTATATAGACTGCAACAAAACATCTTTTGGATGTTAATCTTGAATGGATACCATGAAAAGCTTGGTCTGAATTCTTGTCCAGTTACTTTTCTCTGCTATCATGTCATGTGGTGCTGTGTTCAGCAAGCAGGGGGTTGTAAAGAGAACAGAATGTTTCTTCTACCAATAAAAAGAAAATCAGGCTGGGGTGTCTTTTACTAGCTGGCGTGAGAGGATTTCCTAACTTTTAACCACTGTTAAACCTCTCTTTAAGCTTACGACCATGTCACCAAGACCTGGCCTGATTTCCAAGGCAATGTAGAGTTGCCTTCATTCATCTGGGAAATCAGTGAGAACTGTAGTTAGAATGGTTCTTCTCTCCTGTCAAAGTACAGCACTAACACTGAGCTTACAGATGAATGTTGCTTTGGGTTTTGGGTTTTGTTTGTTTTTTAATAATAGCCTGTGTGTAACTTTAATCATAGACAAGCCTGGTTGTTGCTGTCTAGGTAGTGCTATTGGAATGCTGCTGTTGCAGTTCCTGGGCATGCTTTCTGACTTGATCTGCAGTAAATACAGAGTCTTGTACTACAAGTACCATGATGACTTTGGGTTTCTTTGGAACAGAAGCATTTGGCGTTGAAGGTTCAAATGAAGGATAACTGTGGAAACAAGTACCCATGATTTTAGTTCTTATGCTGGTAACTGAATAACTTAGATGTGCTTAGTTTTTTACCTGTTTGGGGTAGGGTTTTCTGTCCTTTTATGTTTGACTGCCTACCCCTTTGCTGTTACTACTTCTGTTTACAGAAGTCCAAGAGTAGCAGATGACAGTTGATGTTACAGCTCAGTTAAATGATGTCTGTAAAGCATCCTGAACATTTACCCTGAAGCAAAGCTCCATTGCTGCAAAGCAGGCTTCATCTGAATTGTGGTGTTGTCAAACTGGCATGTGTATGTGTCTATATCTTCTCTTCTAAGCAGCAAGCAGAAGCTAAAGGTAGGCTCAGCCCTGCTTCGAGGCCTGTAATTAGCCAAGTCAGATAAGCTGAATTTCCTGGGCACATTTTCACTGCTCATGTGTTAACATATAATGAGCTAGCTAAAACAGAGACCAGTGTATTCTGGTAATGGGCATACAGATCTCTGAATCCTGTAGGATAATTCAGTTGTGTGGGATCTGAAGTGATCTGTGTGTTGCAAGCAGCAAGGTAAAACTGGATATGAGATACAACTCTTGGACTCCAGCTGCCTGATGAAAGAATCAGGCTTTCCTTCTCCCTTTCAGTGAAGAATTTGCCAGAGAGCTGAAGGTAGATATATACTGAGGAAGAGAGGGAGCTAATGTGGGATGGCCAGTAAGTTTATGTGAGGAGCTGTCATTTTTTAACTTATTAGTGGAGAATTTGAGGCCTATATAGCACACACTGTTGTGTTCTGTGAGGCAGATTGGTTTAACCTTCGATCTGTCTGATTTCATTGCCTTAATTTTGGAATAAAATGAAAGTTCTAATCATCTTGAAACAGAATGATTTTAAAAAAATAAAACCCTGTAATAGTCTTCAAATATCCTAGTTAAATGTTATGTTTTCTTGCTAGAAATGTGCTGTTTCAGGACATACCATTCTCCATGATCTTGTTTAAATTACTCTTGTGTTGAGAGAGCTGAGCAGCAAGAAGGTGCCTGCCTTGATCAGTCTGCAGTGTCCTGTCTTGTGCTGTTGTGTATCTCCAGTTGAGTTTGTCACTAGACAGGAGCTGTGAATTAGACTCCATCTGACACTGCATGGAATCCCATAAATATAGCTACTGTTTCATGTTTGGTCAATTATTTTTGGCTTTTAAGAAGTGTTTTTCCAGCACCTATTTTACTTGACCAACAGAACAGGCTGAAAATGCACACAGAAAGCTTTCTAGTGAGGAGCTTCTACAGACATTGGCTTGATTGAGCTGTGCCAGATTACAGAAGATCGGCCTTTCTTTTAGGTCAGTATCCCTCCAAGTGATGATGATGTATCAGATGACTTGTCTTCATAATCAAGTTAATAGCTTAAATGGCAGTACATAAGAACATGCAGACTTCTGTAGCTGTGGTTATGTGGGCTGTAGCCTCTTCTAAGCAGTGTGACCCAATGCCACCTTTTCTCTGCAAATTTGTAGATTTAATCTGTGTTCTCAGACCGGGAACTTTCTTCATGCTATTAAGTGCAGGAACCATGATCCAGATGACTGGATGCTGCTACAGCACTGAAAACTTTCTAGGAAATAGTTGTTCTGCAGCTTGTAATGTAACTGTAACTACTTGCACTACCTTAAGTAATGAAACTGCTAAGAAAGCAAGAAACTAGATATTATTCTAGAAGGTCCATACAGGTGAATTATCTACAGTTCTTCACTATTTCTCAGTGCGTTTGTGGAATGGAAGTTGTGGCTACCAACCAGGTCTTCAGTTGGTCAATTGTCTCCATGGAAAGCAGTAATTGAAGTTGCCTCTTGCTTTGCAGGTAAAGAAGAGATTTTCTTCAGATGAAACACTCCACTGCCCAAAGATGCCCTTAACATAGTCGGTTGGATACCAGGCCTGCATTAATGCCTTAACCTTTCTATTGTGCTTCAAATGGCTTGTTCAAAGCCCTGTATTTTTTCCTTCTATACCTTTAACAGTGTGCCTAATGCAGTTTATACTTCCCTTTGATGCTGTAAATTTTTGTCTCTTAACTTCACATGTGATGAAAACTTCTAAAGTTTTTATGGGTAATAGCTTTCCTGTTCATTTTTCTCACTCTACTGTATATATGTTACAAGCCTTAGGTTGTCTATTGCTGTGCTGTTCACCCTGTTCTATTTGATTGCGATTGGTAAAATGTCTGCAAGAAACTCTATGAGGAGAAGACAAACAGTGGTGCCACATGTTGATGGCATTTCTTCTTTTGAATGAGTTGTATTCTTGGGAAATTTGGCCTTAAGTTTCTCATGCCTGGAAATAAAACTAATCTCTGCTTTATACATAAAGTTCTTGTGCCATGTGTAACTGTTATGATGTGCATTTTAGTGGGTTTAATCAGACAATAGTTAGACAAAGTTGAGCTGAGGAAACTTTAGATGATGTGGATAAACTGTAATAAATTCATGTCATGTGATGAGATGAAGATGCTTTTGCTGTCTTTATTAAGACCTCTCAGGTAGTTCTAAAATAGGACTAAGTCAGCAATTTAAACTTGCTGGAGGGTCTGCAGGTAAAATTGAATGCTTACTTAGCTCAAGCCTCTTCTCCATGTACTTCCCATTGTCCGATCCTGGAGGGGACTTGGTAGCAGAGATAATGTGACTAGTTTGGATGAAGCGTGAATAGTAATTTTGATAGGAGATTGATATACTCCCTGGCCTTTTTGTAGGAAACATATAGCAACAAGCAGTTTAAATTCAACAGCAAAATAGTAATTTTGAGAGGAGATTGATTTACTCCCTGACCTTTTTGTAGGATACATATAGCAACAAGCAGTTTGAATTCAACAGCAAACATAGTTGTTTTATACTTGGTTGACACTTGCACATGAAATTGCAGGCCTGATAAAGCACATGGCAATGGAGGCCAGAGATGAAAAATTGCTGAGGCTCCTCGATGCTAGCTGAGTCTGTGGGGCTGGGACTGAATCTAGCAAGTTGTGTGCTAAGGAATCACTTCACAATATGCAAATATTGCTGCATCACAGGAGTCTTCATGTGTACTTCTTGCCTCCTTATGTCATGGCCAGATAAACCGCCATTATTCCTTACTGTGTTCTATTCTTATGTACAAGATGGAATGGTTCTTTTTTTTTTTTTTTTCCTTTTGGATAGCACTGTTGAGTTGTTCAGTGGGATAATACTTGTTACTGTACAGGAAATGCCAGCATCCTGGCAGAATGCTGTAACTTGCAGTGGTTGAAAAATGGACAGCGTGAATTGCAGAAGAAGTACAGACATGTCAGTTATGATACAAACCAGCAAAGCGACTGCTGGGCCTGGGATAGTGGGGTTTTCCTCAAGTTGCCTACTACTGAGAGCTGTACTTTAACACATGAGAAGTTGCTCTATAGTCTGGCAAATAGTTCCGAAGAAAGTTGGAAACCAAATGATCTCATAAAAGCTTAGGTGGTGGTTGGTTGGCGTTTCTGAAGCACGTGGAGGATAATATATGTTGACCTCATGGGAGAAGGAAGAAATGCTTCAAGACATTGTTGACAATTTTGGGTATGTAACAGTTTTTAAAATATATTGATCTGCCTGACTTGTACCCTGAGGTGAGACGCCAGGAAAGAAACTGTGCTGTGACAAACAGCCCTGTTGGTGTTACCACTTTTTGTAACAACCTTTCTGTTTCAGGTTTTAAGGGATCACTTGTAGAAGATGCAGAAGTGAAATGGAGATGATGTGGTGTGCGTCACTGTGGGAGAATTTAATGTAAAGAGCTATTCAGAGCGTGAGCCACCAAGCCATAGTTCAGTCTTTTGGTGTTTTCCAGCTAAAGACACTTCCCTCTACCCAACTGGTTAATATTTTCTATGGGGCAGATACGAGGTAGTAGCTTGATTTAAGAAGTTGAAAAGATGTATGTATTTTTTGTTGTCCTGAATGTTGTGTGACCTACGGTATGCATGGTGATTATGGAATGGTCTGCTCCATGTCTGCCAGGAATTAACACTGCTTCAGGTAACTTTTTTTTACGTGACTGTAGGAAATCAGAGCAGACACGCTGGTGTTTAACAAACACTGCTGGTATCCAAGCTGGTAACAGTTTCCTCTTGTTCTGCAACAACAGAACACAAAGTGTTAAGGTACATGTGAAGGAAATTTGCTGGTGCTTGACATAGATGGAAAGCGGGTCTGCCCTGATCAGTCTGATCTCATCTGTGTGTTGATACTTTGGGGAAGGAAGATTGAAGAAACTGACTCCATCAAGTCATGAAGACTTGAACTCCTAAATAGCAGCAGCAGGTAGAGCAAGTGTTTAGGTTGGAGACATTTCAAATACTTTTGACACATTAATATTGTTTCGGAAGCTCAAATGTCTGTGCTTGTGCCCCTCCTGGGATATTGCTCTGAAGTGTGTATGGAAGTTTGATGTTTCGTCTGCTGTAAATTGTGGAAGTGTTTTGCTTGTGCAAGGCCTTTAAGTTAGCTGTCAGCCGGGATGCTGCTGCTTCCAGAACCACATATTACCAACTCTGGGGCAAAGCAAATGTTGGTTTTTATGTTGTCTTGCCAGCCACGGTGGGGTTTGGGGACAGAGGAGCTGTTACAGGAGTTAAATGCTCTTTACAACTGGTGCGAGGGGCATGGCTGTGGCGCTGGGGCCAGGCCCCCTCCCTGCGCGGCTATAGGGCTGTATGGCAGCGGAGGGCAGGGGCAGGGCAAAGCCCCGAGGGACACAGACCCGGCCCCACGGACCCTTTGCCTCCACAAGGAAAAGTGACTCTCGCAACCAGCGCCAGGGAGACGAAAGCGCTGGGGAGACCGGTCGCGCTGGCTGTGCGGGTGGAGGGACGGCTCGTCTGCCCGGGCGTGCGGTGCCGGGTGCAGAAGGGCTCGGCTGTTCCGCGCTCTGTTGCTTTTCAGGCTCGGAGTCCCCTCCTCCGCTTTCGACCTGTTCGAGTGCTCGGGGGGTGACTGGTGGGAACGGGGGGGTTCCCTGCCTGTGGCGCGTTGGTGTCCAGCGGGACGGCCCCTTGCCGTAGGGAGGAGGCGGAGAGGGGTCCCGGGCCGGTGCGAGTGGCGGGGCAGGGCGGCGGGAAGGACTCTCCCCGCTCTGACACTACTTTTATGTAACTGCCTGGGACGGGGGGTGCAGAGCTTCCCCGGCTGGCGGCAGCCCCGGCCGCTTGAGAAGGGGCTTCCCCAGGCAGCAGGGGGTCCGCTCGGAGGGAGGCCGCGGGGGCAGCGGGGCGGGGGAGCCCTCCGCTCCCTTCTCGCTGCGCGGGGACCCTGTGGGGGAGGCCGGGGCTGGCTCTCAGTGCCCCGCAGGCGGGCGGGCGCTCGGCGGAAGGGGTCCCGCGGGCGGCCCGGCCCGGCGCGGCGGAAGGGGGTTTGTTTACATGTCGCCTCACCCTAGCTTGAAAGGGCCGCTGGGCGGGTGAGCGGCGGGGGCGGCGGCGAATGGGAGCGAGCGTGGCTGGGGAGCGAGCCACTGAGCGGGCGGGGAGGGCGGGGCGGCGCGGCGCGGCGGTGGCCGGGCTAGGCTGCGCTCCGCGGTGGCTGGCGGGGCGGCCATGTTGGCTGGGAGGTGTGTTAGTGGGTCAGGGGCGGGGGCCGCCCCCCCGGTACCTGCCCGCGGGTGGAACGGGGCGGCTCGGAGCGGCGCCGCTGGCTGAGGAGGGTGCCCGCGGTCCCGTCCCCACGGAGCGGCTGTGCCTCAGGGGGTCTCTTGTTTCTGGGGGTCGCGCCACTGGGGTCTGCAGAGCGGGCGATCCCGGCCGGCAGCCGGGACACAGTCCGGGGCGAGTATGGCCGCTCACTGGTGGTCCCGTTCCCCGTCTTTGAGGGGAGGATCCTGCCGTGAGACGGTTCCCACAAACTTTACTTATAAAACACCGGTAACTTCCTCGGGCTGTCTCCGGTGTGTCTCTGGTGTCTCCCCGCACGGGTCTTGGACACCTTTCCGGGTCTGGATGAAGTTCAGTCCTGGTTTGAATCAGGGCAGCTTGCCCAAAGCCCCTCATGTCACCAAGGAGACAAGCTTGAACTTTATTTCCCCTCCATCCAGAAGGCCCACGGCTTGGGCGTTATTTCATGTAATGATGCATATGGTATTCCCGGCATGCCCAAATCTCATCCCTGTAACGTGCAGCATGGCCAGCGCAGCCCACAGGGCATCATCTGGTGTCACTGATCAGATATCAAAGGTAATTTAATGACCAGAATTCACTGTGTCACACTCCAGTATAAACACGTGCCATTTTCCAAGCCTCTACCCAACAGTTTCAATCATCAGCTGTGCCAGCTGAAATGTTACCTTCGTGTTTAAAGAAAGCGTCGTCTTTGTGGTGTTGCTGTTCAAGGATAGCTTGTTGAAATCATGCCACATGTAACCTGCAAAACATCGATTCTGGCATCTTTCAAACACTTCAAAGTATTGTAAAGACATTGATAAAAAGGCTCTTTTCCTAAGGTCGCTTAACCAAGTGCTTTTAAGCAGACTTGTGGGGAGGGTTAATTATTGTTATTACACATATGTGTTCATAGTAAGGATAATAAAGAGCAGACACGGGTGCTTTAGAAACTTGGTTGATTTTTATTGTTGGCAACTTAAATGAGAAGTCAGATTTTCTATAGCAAATATATTGGGTGGTTGCTTTAGCAGGCAAGGCTTTTTGTAGAGATATCAGTGTTCAGTGATAGTACTTTTTAGAAGCATGAATAATAACTCAGGGACCCCCATACAGTGCTTTGTAGCTGGTAGTTTACCTGAGCGAAGAAAGGATTGCTTTGTGATGGGAGTATTAACTGATGAGAGAAACCTTCAGCAGAGGCATTAAGCCGTTGACCATCCTTGCCATGTTGGGTTTTATTTTTTAACTAATGAGAGTGGCAAAGAGCTTTCTGAAGGACAAAGGTTTGAAGTCCCTTCCGCATTAGCAGGAATTAATTGGGAATAAATAGAAGCTTCTGGCTGACCAGTAGACTGATAGCATGGTATAAATAAGGGAACCGGTTTAGATTTCCATGACTTGCGTGTCCGTGCCGTGTGGTTTGTGAAGCCTAATTAAAATGTGGTTTAAAATAGAAGTTTGATAAAGGTATTTGGCACTGCGTAAGAATGCTTGAAAGTCAGCATTGGCTAGAAAGATAAGCCAAAAATTTTATGAAAATTGTGGATTTAAGGTTTAGACCTCGCTCTGATCATTTCCCTGCTTACAGCATTATATTAAAAACAACCCAAACCCTTCTGGTTTTGAAATCTGCTGGGGTTTAGGTTTTTTAAGTTTTTTTTTGTTTTGTTTTATTTTTTTTTGGGGGGGGGGGGGGGGGGGTTG